GAGAGAAGACAATGGACAGAGGCGGTGCTTGGGGCTGGGGATCTCGGATGCCCAGCTGGGAAGCAGGGGGGCTCGGGGCTGAAGAGGGGGAACAGGCAGAGCCCAGCACCACCTGCTCCCTTTCTTTAGGGCCGGGCACCCAGCATTTCACAGCCACGGTCACCCCATCAAGTTTAAACCGCTCCCCCCCCAGTTACAGCCTCCACCTCAGACACCCGCATTGTCCCCCGTCCATCCAGGGCTGCACTGGGCAGGGTGTGTTTGGCCCTAGCGCTTTCCCAACAGGTGGCTGGGTTGTTAAATCCCCCAGGACCACCAGGGCTCATCACCGAGCCCAGATCCGGGCCCCTCCCCATCCCGCAGAATCACACACGCCCCAGTGCCCAAGACAGAGCTCACTGTGTGTGGGGCGCTGTGTCTGGCCCTGGCACTGGAATAACGGCACTTACTACCCCCCAGGTGTCCCCCTCCTCTCTCTGCAGCGGGGTCCCCCAGCCCCTTTTCTCTCCCCCCTTTCTCCCTAGACCTCCCCTGCCCTGTATTTCTATTGTACAAACCCCCAGACCTTCCTTCTCCCCTGCCCCCCAATCTCCCCGCCCCAGGGGGCGGCTGTGATACCAGAGCCTCCAAATGTCCCCTCGTGGTGGGTTCAGCCAAAGAAGGTGAGTGAGAAGTTCAGGCATCATCACGAGAACCTGACGAATGAACGTTGGGGGGGAAGATGGCGAGACAGAAAGACGGGATTAGTCCAACCCGAGCAGCCACCGGACAGAACCCACGGGCTGGGCTGGGACCTGCCTGGGACACGGGAGAAGTGGGGGAGCAGAAATCCCTGACCCAAAATTGGGGTGTCAGAAACGAGGCCTCATTGGTGGATAAAACATTGTGGGAACAGGCTGTGCCACTCACCACCCTTTGGGGGGCCTTAAAGAAAGAGACTTGTTTCACTGTTGTGGCTGCCACTTCCCCTGTCTCCTGGGCCCCGCAGGCCGTCCAGACCCTGCTCTGCGGAGACGTCCTGAGCAGAGCGGGCCAGAGAGAGGGACCCCGATGCCATCACCCCTGAACCCCCAACCAGGGAGGAAATGGGGTCAGACTTTAACAGCAACCACGGTGATGCTGGCTCCAGCCCAGCTCCCGTGGCTCCTCGGGCCCCCCAGGACAGTCGCTAGCGTCTCCGGGGGCAGCGGGGAGACACCCAAACCTGGGGGATTTTCCGGCTAGAGACTCGCTCCAGCGAACGGGGCCGGGGCTGGAACAAACCCCTCGTTTCACCCGGCACCTGCCACGGCTCCCCTGGTTCCTGCTCTGCTGTGTCTGTAACAACTGGTCCCAGGGGTCAATGGGGGGTTTGCTGTGGGGCTGAGCAGGCTGCAGGCTCTGAACCCCACCCCTGGCCCGTGTTTAACCCTGTTCAGTGTGGGGCAGGGGCTGGGGCGTGTTCACATCTTGGGCCCTTTACTGCATCTCCATGAATACAACAGGGCACAGAGTGATTTAGCCGCCGGCGCTTCTGGGTGTTTAGGGGGACCTGGCTGGGGGAAGCCGGGAGTTTGGGGGAAGTAGGTTGGGGGTGTTGGGAGGGGTTGAGGGTGCCAGGATGTGGGACAGGAGTTTGAGGGGAGACAGGCTCCCCACAGAAGGTGAGAGCCGGGGAGGTAGGAGTGTTGGAGTGTCTGAGGGGGAGGGGAATTGCTACCCCTCAGCAGCTTCCCCTCTCACTGCCCCCCTCCTACTCCTGCCCCCTCAATCCTGGGTCCCTGCTCAGTCTCCTGCCCTCTAACCCCCATCTGTTCCACATCCCCTGCCCCGTAATGGCCCCCCATGCCTCACCTTCTGCTTTTCTTTTTCTCCTCTCCACCCCCTAGGTACTCTTGCCCCCCCACATTCCCAGCCCCCCAATGGGACAGAATGGGGGGCTGAGGGGCCCAATGTGTGAATGTGGGGGGTGAAGGGCAAAGGAGCTGGGGAGACCGAGCTGGGGCATCTGCCAGGGTCGGGGTTCTCTTGAGCTCTGTCCCCATGTTCTGGCCCCCTCCCCTTTCTGGGGGGCTGGTCATCCCCCCGCCACCCCGGGTGCCTCTTTCGCAGCATCCTGGGGTCGGAGAGGGAAGCTCGGCTCAGCCGTCAGCCCCTGTGAGCTCTGCCCTGAGCCCTGAGCTGCGCAGACCCACTGCCCCGGGGATGGGCTGGGGAAGGGACACGGGGCCTTTCACCTCTAGGGGGTGGCTCTGATCTGTGTCCTTTTCTCTAAGCATCAGACCCCACCTGCAACCAGCCCCCTGCCCCTCCAATCATCTGACCCCACTCCCCTCCCAGAGCTGGGGTATATAACAGGATAGCTGCCAGGGTATCAGGTTTATGCCGAGTTTCACTGGCAGTAACAGAAACAGGAGGCGAGCGCTGGCTCTGGGCAGACTTCCCCTTTTCACGGATTTACCGGCTGCTCCTTTAACAACTCAGGATCTAAATTTACCCCTACGTCATCCCCTCATAGGTGCCAGAAACCACAACCCCACCCAGCCCCCTGTTCCGTCTCTGTGCCACATCACTCAGCTAAGAACCGCGTCAGCAGCGATGGTATCTGAGAAGGAGGTTAGCCAGCTCCCTCCACACACTGGGCCCAGCTGGGTGAGAAAGGAATCTCTGTCCTGTTACATGGGAGAGGGTCACTTCATGGGGGACACTGTGTGTGTGGGGGAGCCCTCCTCTGCTCTGAGCTGCTGCCCAGAGAGGCTATACTGGTCCACTGGAAAAGGTCAGGGCAGCCTGGGCACCTCTTGATACCTCCTGAGATTGCCCCTTATCCAACTGGTCCCCAGACTGGGCAGCTCCCATGTGGGGCTGAGAGGTGATGGAGGGGTGGGGCTGGGCAGCTGCAGGAGGGGATGTGGTTTGATGGTCGTGGCAGGGATCTGGCTTTGCTCTGATCACAGTAAATTTGGGCTGAAGATTGCAGAGAAACCATCTGATGGGGAAGAAAAGGGCCGAGCGCACCACAGACTTCCTGGGGCTGCAGCCCCCAACGCAGTTCCTCATTCAGCTCGCACTCGGGCCTCAGGTTCAGTAGAGCTGGGCACCAGGGCATTGGTGGCAGTGCTGAGGGTCCCCCACAGCCCCGTCATGATGTCTACTCTCACCATCCTCCTCCTCAGTGAGTATCGGAGATAGCCAGGGCGTGTGCCCATGGCGGGAGGAGGGGTCTGAGGCAAGGGTGTAGGATCCAGTTGCTTTGGGATCTGGTCACTAACAAGCTGTCTCCTCTTCAGGCTGCTGGCTGGCTGGGCACAGCGGAGCGTGGGGAGGTGAGTATCAGTCTGTGTGGAGGACGGTAACATCAAGGACAGGGAGGGGATGCATGGGATGGGGAAAAGAGGAAATGAGCCCTGAACCTTCCCCAAAACTAAACCCAAACTCCCCCTGTGAGCTCAGATCCATCCCCCTTCTTCTGTGCCCCACCCCACCATGGAGTAACTAGCAGTCGAATCTGGCTCCCGGGGTCTGACAAAGCAGAGGGGAACCGTCCCCTGGTTCAATGTCCTGCCCCCCACAGGCTGCGAGGATCGGGGGGAGGCGGCATGTAGATTTATTTCAGCTCATACAAATGCTAACGGGGGCCCGTCTGTGGGCTGTAGATACCCCGTTCCCGAGGCACGGGGAAAGGTGGGTCTTGTGCGACTCCCATTGGTCACAGACTCTATTTCCAACCCTGGAGCCACTGGTCAGGCTCCCTGGCTGGCCTGTGGGGGGACAGGTGATCTCTCATGCAGCCGGGTCCTGAGCTACATCTGGGTGAACCCCCTGCCCCCAAGCCCCATGGGCAGGCAGTGCCAACCCTAGTAGGCGACTGACTCCTAGAGAGGCCGAATGACGGATGGACTGAATTGGAGCAGGGGGGAGGCGGGGGTGGGGTGTCTCCCCTTTTTAACTCCTGTCTCTTGTTGAAAGCCGGGCATGAATTTCACAAGCCCACCATCTTGGTGAGCCCCAGCAGGGTGGTGGCGCTTGGGGGAAGCGTCACCATCCGCTGTGATGGTTGGTTCCAATCCATGAAGTTCTTTCTGCGTAAAGCTGGACACACAAACCTGCATGTTCGGTCGGCGGTACCTGATGGGACCGTGGCTGAATTTCCCATCCCCAGTGTCAGCCGGGAAGATGGAGGGAGCTACACCTGCGACTATCGCTCCATAACGGATCAGAGTCGCTGGTCGCATCTCAGCGACCCCGTCGAGATCATTGTAGGAGGTGAGGGGCCCGGCTCAGTGTCCCGGCTCCCAGCCCCACACCCAGCTCGACACTCCGGGGCTCTCTGCACTGATGGGACGCTCAGAGCCAGGCTCTGCCCTGATCCTTGGGCCCAGCAGAGGGGACACCCAGCTGGGGAGGGGGGATGGAGTCACTGGGGCATTTCCCAGCCATGGGGGAGAAGCAGTTGCTGGAAATGCAAGGCTGAGGGAGAGGGATCCCTGTCCCCAGGGGGAGCTGCAGAGCGGGGGGGCCTTTCCCAGGTAACACATGAGTTAGGGGGTGATGGGCGGAGCTGAAGGTTATAAACCTCAGTGTATAGTACAGACTTGCACAGTCCCCTGCAAGTCAGGGGTGGTGCTGTGCACAGAACCCAGGAGTCCTGGCCCCCATCTCCCCTGCTCTCACCCACTAGACCCCACTCCCCTCCTAGAGCCAGGGACAGAACCCAGGAGTCCTGGCTCCCAGCAGAGAAGCCAGGGAGTGAATGGACCCTGGAGACTGGACTGGCCTCTCACCCACTAAGGAGCAGATCTCTGGGCCCCCAGGGGCTGGGGTTGCTCCGTGTCTCATGCTGTTAGCCCAGGGCTCAGAGGAAACTCTGGCCCCTGTGGAAAGGCATCCAGGATCCCGTCCCCAGGGCCGCCGGGTCTGACCCACCACTGAGGCCCCGTGATGAGGAAGGGCCCCAGGATCGAGTGACGGGGCCTGCGTCTCACGGCCTGTCTCCTTGCCATTGCAGATCCCAGCTATCCCAAACCAAACATCTCCCTGATACCCAGCGGGGGGGGTCTCCCTGGGGAGATGGGTGACCATCCAGTGTTGGGGGCAGCACCAGGGCATGCAGTTTGTGCTGAATAAAGAGGGACGCCATTTCCCACCTGTGGATTCGGACAGGTTTGGGGCTCTGTTTTCCTTCAGCATCATGTGCCAGGAGGACGGCGGGAGCTACAGCTGCTCCTATCACAGCAGATCGGAGCCGTTCACCGTGTCATACCCCAGCGACCCCGTGGAGCTGGTGGTGAGAGGTGAGGGGCCTGGCTTGGCGTCCCTGTTCCCAGCCCCTCCCCCAGCCAGGCCCTCACGGGGGCTGGGTGCCAATGAGACACTCAGAGCCAGACTGCCCTGAGCCCTGACCCAGCAGAGGGGACGCCCGGCCGGGGAGCGGGGATGGAGTCACTGGGGGGTTCCCCAGCTAGGGGGGAGCAGCAGCCCCTGGAGGCTCGGGGCAGGGAGGTGACTTTAACGCTGCCCCTTGTGCGTAGGAACCGTGAGTCGCTATTTAATCCAGTGATCCCATCCCCTCTATTCTCCAGGCCCTGCCCCAGGCAGTGCCCTGGCTGGGGCTGAATGAGGCAGGGGCTGCAGGAGAAGTGGTGGCTTGATGGACACGGCACTGGGCTGGGATTCAGGAGATCTGGCCCAGCTCCTGGCGTGGCCACAGACTCTGTGTGATGGGAGCACGTTGTGGTTTCCAAAAGTGTCCTTCCTTGTGGGGGGTCTCAATCTTGGGGGAACTCAGTCCAAGCGCCCACAAACTGTTGTGCTCCCAGTTAGTGGAGACCTCTTCAAACGCTGGTCTCAATAGCGCTGGATCCCATGTATTGCAGGAGCATGTAGGGCCCCTGCCATGATCAGGGCCCCTTTGTGCCAGGTGCTGCTTAAACACAGAGTGAAGAGACAGTCCCTGCCCCTGGAAGCTCACTAAGGAAAGTGAATCTGTCTGTGCCTCAGTTTCCCCCCTGTAGAATGGGGATAAGATGTCTCGCTGCCTCCCGGGGGGCTGATTCCCTTCCTATGTGGGGCTCAGGCCCTGCAGTGCCAGGCGCCAGAGGCCAGCCTGTGAGTCGCTCTGTGCTCAGGGGGGCTGGACGCAGTGAATGAGGCAGGGGCCACACACGGCATATCAGGACCCCAAGAACTAGGGAACTGTCGGGCTGGGAGCCAAGCTTGCAGGGTCGGGATTCTGGGTCAGGTGGACTCTGGTATCTGGGAGAGAATCTGCCCATGGCTGGGGAATCATAGAAGATTAGGGTTGGAAGAGACCTCAGGAGGTTCTAGTCCAACCCCCTGCTCAAAGCAGGACCAACCCCAACTTAATCATCCCAGCCAGGGCTTTGTCAAGCTGGGCCTTAAAAACCTATAAGGTTGGAGATTCTACCACCTCCCTAGGGAACCCATTCCAGTGCTTCACCACCCTCCTAGTGAAATAGTGTTTCCTAATATCCAACCTAAACCTCCCCCACTGCAACCTGAGACCGTTGCCCCTTGTTCTGTCAGCTGCCCCCACTGAGAAGAGCTGAGCTCCATCCTCTCTAGAACCCCCCTTCAGATAGAGTTGGGATGGACTCACTGGGGCATTCCCCAGCCAGGGGGAGCAGCAGCAGCTGGAGATTAGGGGCTGGGGAGGGGGGATTCCTGCCCCGTGGTGCAGCTGCAGAGAAGGGGGCTTTTACCAGTGGAATTCTCCCCTGGGTTGCTCCCATTCTGGGGACCCATGGAGGAGTTGGGGCCCGAGGTGGGCAGTCGCTGAGTCACTGTTTTGGCCCCTCCCCCTGCCCTGACAGACACTGGTTCTATTCCACCAGGGGGAGGAACAGCCCCCTGCCCCTCACTCACCACCAGACCCCCAGCTTCCCCGATGCCTCCTGCCCTTCAGGTCACAGCCTGGAATTTGCTGGGGGATCCCAGAGGAGGGGCAGGATCTGGGGGGCTGGGCTGTGAAATTAGGCCCAGATTGGTCCCAGAGTCCTTGGACAATAACCCACCCCCCCTTGGGCCACAAGACATCCCCCTGGCAATAGGAGTGAGCATTACCCAGAATTCCCTTGGTTCTTGCTTCCCCTCCCCTAACTGGGGTCTCAGGGAAACCCGCAATAGATGTTCTGCTGCCTCTGGCTGCGCCCTAGTCCCCATGGCCCTGGTCACCGCCCAAATGTGGGGGACAGCGGGAAATGTACCAGCCTCCCCCAGCACGCACTGCCTGGCTGTGTTTGTCAGCAGCTGAGATACCCCGGGGCTGGGCTCACTGCACAGCAGACAGACTGGGGCAGAGGTACCTGTAGGGGTGGACAGAGGGGTCCTATGGGGACAGGGAGCTGGGATGGTTCCCTGTTATGAGGGGCTAAGACCCTGAGGCTCTGATTGTCCCCATCCCCTGGCCTGGTGCTGGGGTGCCGTGTGTCTTGGGGGCAGTTCGTCCACATGGGAGCCCCCTTCACTGGGGAAGCTGAGGCTCAGCCCCCAGGACAGCAGGACGCAGTCTCCCCTGAGGGGATCCGGCCCCAGAACCACGGCACCTGGGAGACCCCGCAGAGGGGGCTAGGCCAGACCTGCCGGACGGGGGGTTGGGGGCTCCGCTCCCGGGGCAGCGCCAGCTGCTGATCTCCCCGTCCGAGCCACCAAGTGACTCTCCCCTTCCTCCTGCAGCAGCCCCCCCGGATTTCACCCACGCCAACATTGCCCGCCTGGGGCTGAGCGCCGTGGTCCTGCTCGTCCTGGGGCTGATCCTGGCTGAGGCCTATTACAGCTGCCCGAGGGAGGTGCCCTAGGTGAGGTGACCCCCCCTTCTGTGCCCCTTGCTCCCCCCAGGGGCTCCTGTAATGTGTAATCTCTCTGTGCCCCCAGGAGCCTGGATCCAGCCATGCAGAGAAGAGAATTGCCCTGGGGGATGAGCCGCTTCCTCTTGGGGGGCTGAGACACAAACCCCCCTTCCCCCAAACATCCCTGCCTCGGAGAATCCCCCCCCCAAACAGCTTTAGATCTGACAGCTGCACCCCAGGATTGAATCCCTGATGGCGGGAGCACGAGCCCTTACGAGACCCACCGTTGTCCCCTGTCCATCCAGAGCTGCACCGGGCAGGTTGCATTTGGCCCTAGCACTTTCCCAACTGGCAGCTGGGTCGTTAAATCCCCCAGGACCACCAGGGCTCATTGTCCAGCCCAGAGCCGGGCCCCCACATCCCATAGAATCACACACAGAACAGCGCCCTGAGACAGAGCCCCCAAGCCTCAGCCCTCTGTGTGTCAGGATGCTGCATCTGCCCTAGCACTGGAATAACGGCACTTACTGCCCCCTGGTGTCTGTCCCCCTCTTCTCTCTGCAGCGGGGTCCCCCAGCCCCTTTTCTCTTCCCCTTCTCCTTAGACAGCCGAAGCCTGCATTTCTATTGCACAACCCCCCAGAGCATCCTTCTCTCCTGCCCCAAAAATCTCCCTATCCCAGAGGGGGCTGTGGTAATGGAGCCTCCAAATGTCCCCTCGTGGTGGGTTCAGCTGATGAAGGTGAGTGAGAAGTTCAGGCACCATCATGAGAACATGGACCCCCCGAGGCCTTTTGGACCCTGCTCCGCGGAGACGTCCTGAGCAGAGCGGCTGGAGAGAGGGACCCTGATGCCATCGCCCCTCCCCCAGCTGAACCCCCCCCAACCCAGGAAGAAATGGGGTCAGACTTTAACAGCAGCCACAGCAACGCCGGCTCCAGCCCAACTCCGCTGGCTCCTCTGCCCCCCCAGGACAGTCACTAACGTCTCCGGGGCCAGTGGGGAGATGCCCAAACCCGGGGGATTTTCCGACTAGAAACTCGCTCCAGCGAACGGGGCCGGGGCTGGAACAAACCCCTCGTTTCACACAGCACCTGCCACATCTCCCCTAGTTCCTTCTCTCCTGTGTCTGTAACAGCCGGTTTCACGGGTCATTGGGGGGTTTGCCATGGGGCTGAGTAGGCTGCAGGCTCTGGACCCCTCCCCCAGCCCGTGTTTAACCCTGTTCAGTGTGGGGCAGGGGCTGGGGCGTGTTCACACCTTGGACCCTTTATTGTGTCTCCACGAACACAGCAGGGCACAGAGTGATTTAGCTGCCCGCACTTCTGGGGTCCCCCCATGGTGGGTGTTTGGGGGCAGCTGGCTGGGGGGAGACGGGAGTTTGAGGGAAGTAGGTTGGGGGTATCAGGAGGGGGGTTGAGAGGAGAGGAGAGGGGTCGGGATGGGGGACAGGAGTTTGAGGGCTGACAGGCTCCCCCAAAGCTCAGAGCTGGGGGTCAGGATTGTTTTGGGGCATGGGGGGGTGGGGGCAGATGGTGCCCCCCAGGAAGGAGCTGTCATTGCTACCCCTCAGCAGCTTCCCCTCTCACTGCCTCCTCCTACTCCTGACCCCTCAGTCCTGGGTCCCTCACTTTCTTTTCCCTCAGTCTCCTGCTCCCATAACGCTCCACACACCCCTCTTCCCCACATTCCCTGAGGGAGGTTGGGGTGTGTGAGGGGTGTGACGTTGCACCCCATAATGCTTTATAGAAATATGCTTATGAATGTCAATATGACATACCTGGAATATGTTTTATGCTAGATTGCACAGAGATGTTACATGGCATAAGGTTATGTTCTTCTGCATGTACTCATCCTATTTGTATGAATGGATCATTCTTGTACCTGAAACTAGAAATATGAAATATAACTCTGAGGGCCTATTGTCATTATGCAAAGTGTGGGCCATTAATGGTGGTTTGGAATCTTGATGGCTCCCATTAACCTGGACAATTGACTGTAGATGGGTCTGGTTACTTGCAAGCCTTCCTTTGAGTCAGGCTAGGAAGAATGAAGGCTAAGGGCAGATGTAAAGTACTGGGCATTAAACCCACCTTCAGAGACCCCAGCAGGGAAAATGCTGCCGAGTGTTTACGCTCTCAGCTGGAAGTGCCCTGGCGTGGCCACGTTAGCAGGTCTTGCAACGCCACAAAGAGCAGTGCACTGTCCCAGCATGCAAGTGGCTGCAAGGTGCTTTTCAAATGCGGGGGGTGGGGTGGAATGGAGTGTGACAGGGAGTCTGTTGTGTGTATGTGGGGGGAGAGAGAGTGGGTTTTTGGGGTGCTGGGTGTGTCAGCATGCTGTCTTGTAAGTTCAGACCCCCCCACACCTCTATCACACACACTCACAGCAACCAACATTCCACACTAATGGCTTGCTTTGTCCAGGAGCAGATGAACAGGAGGGCTGTCAGAAACAGAGCTTTGAAAGGGGATATCTGCATTCCTA